TGCAGGTAACTATAACAGAAATCATCAATAATGCATTTACAGTAATGCTTTATGTCCTACAGTCTGCTGGCCCCGATAGTGTCATGTTCAGTGAGAGCAGGTTCAGGGCAGACCTGGCTTAACAGTCATAGAGACATCATTATTGTCAGGGGTTGTGAAGCGTTGTTAGATATGTTTTTGCTTTATCATGTAGCATTGACGTTGGCAAGCATTTTTCTTATAGCGTAGTGACAACTCTGCCCATGTTCAGTCTCATGTCACAATAATGATGCCTTTATTTTCTTCTTCAGCTAGGACCTTAACCCTTCCACCTTGTTCAGCAGATGTTTATCTAGTTGGTGTTTATAAAGAGTTGAAATGTTGGATTATATAACTATTAATATATGCCATAAATTATTTAATTTAACTGTCAGTTAATAAAACTTTATTGTCGAGATGAGGCGGAGTTTAAAAGTAAATGTAATCCCTTCAGTTGCCCATAATGATTGTAAAATTGTTTTAATGATGACACCGTAGAGCTACAGGTTTAAAATGTGTATTCCCAGAGTTAGACTTAGTAAAACAATAGTATTATCCTTCACTTTATCCTCATCTCCAAGGTCTTCAAGGTTACAGTTTTGACAGAAGCATTCAGTCATTAGTGGTCTTTCACTTGTTGCCTGGAAATGGAAACTTAATCTTTGACATTGTTGGATGTTGACAGGTAGTAGATCTTCACCCATACACGTAAGTGACTTTGGTGTGGCAAGATAAACAAAAATGTTCCTGACTTTCCTCTCTGTGGTTAATGCCTCATTTTTATTAAAATTTGTTAATAGACTTTAATTACATACATCCATATGTAATTGGTCCATATGTAGATCTACAACTTTGTTGAAAATCACAGGCTTCTTGAGAGAGAGGCCCATCTATACCCAACTATTTGTACGTGTATAGTCGTCACTGGGATATGTATATCTACCAAATAACCTCCTTTGTGCCACGGCAGGTCCATGCATGCCATGCATCACGCATGTATTTACCATGATCAATATTTGAGGTCAATTTTCAAAAGAGTGTTACTTTTACTGGAGCTTCTTTTTTCCTGTTTTTGGAGGGACATTAGTTAAATTAAACATTATGTATCTGGCCGTTGCAGGGAATTTGAGGAAAATGTTTGGCAAGACGAAAAGCAATCTAGCACTATGCTTGACTGTATAAAGAGGCCAGTTTTGCTTTTGTAAACCACTCTGCATCCAGATCTCAGGGGTGGGTTGTACAAATTGAATATAGCATTGCAGAATATGTGTCCATTTCCCGACTTGTCATAGTGCATTGTATTTGTACTAACCTTTCCCTTTTTCAGTCAATGCCTCCTTGTGTATAGTGTAGAAATGCTAAAAAAAAAAAAAGTGTATATTCTGCATGTAAAAACAGCACTCTGTTCAAGTTCTCCTTGTCAGCTGACAATGTACTGCACAATTTGTGAGAGGAAAAAAAAATCAATTTGAATGTTTCAGGTTAAAAGAGCCCATTAAATTTAGTTTGTTTAATATTTAATTACCAATGAGGGGAATACAAGTTTTGATGTCCTCATTTTAAAAACTGCCCAACTGTAAATGGAAACGGGTGGCAAGTGATCAGATTTAGAGAAGGATATTAACAAACTAGTTTGTGTATGGTATTAGTGTGTTATATGCTTCAAATATTGCTTCTTGAACTATAAAAAAGGCACTTACTGAACAGTACAATTTAAAAAAAAAAAAAAAAAAAAAAAAAAAAAAAGGAATATATTTTCTAATTTCTCCTTTTTCCATAAAGTACTCAGTTTGATCTTTTACATCTAAAAATATAATGGCAATGGATGAGTTTCGTAAAGCAGAAAAGATTTATTGTCATTAAACTGGTCAAATAAAAACTGCAACTCCACATGTGAAAGTAAGAGAATAAAAGAACAAACTGAAACAAACTTAAGATGTGGCACTGAAATGTATCTGGATTATTTACTTTCATCATTTTAATCAACTTCTAGACTATGATTTTACTATGCGTTGTCAATAGGCAAGTGATTTTAAAAAAATGTCTATCAACTGTCTTCTTTATTCATAACAATCAGGCAATTTTCTGACGCTAGTTCTTTTTCCTGGGGAAAAAAACAACTGTTAAAATCTTTTTAGAAACATTTTTTGAAAACACCAAATGTTTAAGCAGATTGTAGCCATGAAAATGTTTGTTGTGCAACATCCCTCGTTCTTTTTTCTACCTTGACCTACCTGCCTGAGTTCATTTGCAGAAAGCTGAAGTCTCTCCTTCAGCTCGTCTCCAACAAGCACATCAGACAGCACAGACCATTTACCATCTCCGAAGGTTACTGGAACTGAGAGGACAACACCTTCTGGGAGATTGTAGTAGCCTACAAGTAGCCAAAGACACTCATATTTTAACACAAGCAAAATCGGTGACAATATGGAGAAATAAAGTATAGATTTGGATATGGATCCCTCATTTAAAATGTTTCTTAAAACTTAAAACTTCATCCCTGCACATACCCCCCGTTCCCCGTGTTTGTCACACATTGTGCTTGGCAGTGTCATCACCTGGGCAAAGTGCACCCATAGAGAAGACCTCATCTGGACTACAAATGCCATTCCAAGCCTTTAGGACAGTGAGGATCCCATTGGCTGCTGACATGGCAGCTGCTCGGCAGGTCTTTGAAACCACAGCCGCACGCTGAGAACATACCAAGTCTTCAAAGTCTTGTTGCAACCATTTCCTGCCAGAGAAAAGGAGATGATTGGCTGTTTTGGCATATCCCTGTTTTTAAACAGAACTGTCAGAATGATGGGTCAGATGTATTGTGCAATAAACACTGGCACATACTGTACTCAGCAGGGTACACATTGGTAGGCAGTTTTGTGATTTGGTGGTAGATGAGTGCCTTATATTATTATATATATATTATATTATATATGTTTGTTTAGCCTGCCAAAGTGCCAGATTGGTGGAGTTAACCACTACAGTTAGATATGTCATTAATCTAGTGTTTTAAAACACATAAATAATTGCCTATACTTCTGAACCAGGAGTCTGAAGAACTTACTTATTGAAATCCTGCTTGTTATTGTAACAAACCTATCATGGAGAATTGTTTGGACTGGTTGGGAAAAGAAAGCTGGTCCTTTGATTGCCCCACCATAGTTGAAAACCTTTGCCCTCTGCAGGTCGATGTAGAAACTACCACTGATGTTTCCCCACACAATGACATTTCTAACATCTAGAGCAGAAGAAGAGGCAATAATGATTCATCATCAAGTGACAATGGGAATATGCAGTAGGTAAATGTGACTGAGTTTCACCAAATAGAGTGAGGGGATTTACAGTATCTACCTGAAGTTCTCACTTGAAGCTTCTTTGCAATGATGGCCCTGGCTTCATTCTCCAGCTGAGTTGTTGTGGTGACAAACTGGCGGCTGTCAATGGAGCGTGCATTGTCCAACAGAAGTGAGCATCTCAGGTTGATAAAAGAGTCACCAGACACAATCACCTTCACCTCCTTGTTGGCCTTTGTGTCAATCAGTTGTCCATACTCTCTGTACCTGTCTGAGATCCCTTTTACCTTTCTCTTCTTCTTTTCCTCCTCATTCTCATTCTCTGTATCACAATGGACATCAGACCACCACTCATCCAGCAATACAATGACATCTGCTTCCTGGAAGGCCTGTTCCAGATCTGTGTGAATGGTCACCTAAAAATGAATGATAGTTTGATGGCTTTATTTTCCTTCTGATATGGGTCAAAAACTGAAAAGTTCCTTTAAAAAATACTATACTTGATGAAGCAGAGGGAGCGCCAGGTCCTCTGTCTCCATCCTCAGCCACTGCAGTCCCTCCTCATTTCCCTCCAGGTCCAGTAGGTGGAGGCTGATGGCAGAAATGTGGGGGAACACCTCAGTAGAGAGCAGATTGGGGATCAGGAAGTGGCAGGCTGGGCTGAGAGCACTGGAAAGGTATTGAAAACACACTTAACAAATTTCCAAAAATTCAACAGAGGGGGTATTTTTGGGGATTTGATTTTATCAGACTAACCCACCTACTGATCCATATGTGAAGGGGTTTGATAAGACTGACACGATGCTGCTCCTCTACAATAAGATTCATCTCGGTTTCCAGATTCTCTGCTGCAACACTCAGCATTATATCTGTAGGCATGTCTGATGTGATGTTGTAATAGTCCTACACAAACCCAGATTAAAGAAAATTGCAGGTTTTGAAGTGATTTTATTGAGAAATCCTAATCTATGCCTACCTGACAGTGCTCTAGGAACTCACTGAAGCCGCCCAAGAGCACCCCTTTCCCTCCTCGGGCCACCAGTTCCCTCCAAACCAAAGGGGACTGCTCATGTTTCCAGCCATTTCTTCTGCATGTGGCCTCCAGCCATTCCTATCAGAGACCATTGAGAGGTCACATTAAGGTGACGAATATGTAATGTGAATAATATACTAAATATTTGTAAATATAATAAATAGTTAATAAATAAGAATATGACCTTCCATTTGTCTGGGAGGATGGATATCTTGTGGATCCTGAAGTTTGGCAGAGATTGCTGCAGACGGTCAGCTAATAGTTCTGCTTTGGCATAATGTGGGCAGTCTGTTTTGCCTGTAACAATAGAGAAATGCGATATTTTGATATAGCTACAGTTAAAAGCTAAAAGCTAAAAGAAAAAAAATATCAAACTTTACCCGCAAGAACAAATTTGGCCATTCTATCCGGATGTCGTTGGTTGCTAGGAGACCGCGGATGTTGCGCTTATTTGAGTCCGAGTAGGAAACAATCCACAAATACAAAATATCAGGACGCGTTACGATGACTTTGAGACCTATGAATTAAAAAGGCCCACACATATATTCATTAACCGTAATAAATATTATGCTTGAGATGTTTTATATTCAAATAAAAACTGGTTATTATATTTTCACAGTAAGTGATTTAACAAGTTGTGCCAGACGGACTAAACATGGGAGCGCACACAGCACGAATTATTGGCGTGAGAGTGTCACGCTAGCAAACATGAATTGGACCCTCTTTTTAGTGTAACGTACCTCTGTGCCTCTTCGCTAAACAGTGATTTCACAGATAGATTTTACAGGGTTCAACAACAAGTGCCATGTGGACAATTGCTTGCATGTTTCCACGGTTAGAGTAACAAGGTAGGGGGCATCACTTAGCTAACCCTAGCTAATGTAAGCTAGCCAATGTTTGAATAACTTAAAGGAGGGGGTCTGTTGGCCTTGACCTTGTTAGTAACTTAGTCGTAGCACTTTGTAATTCATCATTTGTACTAACTAACGTTACTTGCATATTTTAACACTATATGCAGCCTAGAATGTGAAGTGGAAACATTAACATAACCCTAATTGATTAACGTTAATATAGTTGCCATTACTTTGATTCCATCTACATAATTTGGTAAAAAATCTGTCATCTGGCACATTTTCAACCCCTAAGTTTTAGAGAACAATGTCTGTCTGGATGCGCTTTTGTAGCCGCAGGTCTCTATGGCAGAAACGCAGTTTCCCGGTGACAGCATCAGTCAAAGACACATCTGTCCGAAGTCAACATTTAGCACACACTTGGGGCACCGGGCATAGTCAGACATGCCTGGCTAGGAGTCTTGTGTGTTCAGTGCGGTTTTACTCACAGGATAGGATTCACAATGAGGACTTGGAAGAGAAGGAGCTTCTCTCCTCTCCAGGGACAGAGTCTTCGCTGCCTGCTGAAATCCAACCTGACGAGACAGTCTCGATGCAGAGAGAGAGGAGGTCCCCTTTTGTGGACCATCTGCGGCGCTGTGGCTCCCCAACAGACGTGCTAGACCTTACCTGTCAATACTCACCCACAGTTCGACAGGTCAGCAACTGCCTGACCCACATGTGGACCACCACTAAGAAGATGTCGGAGGAGCAGAGACACTATGAGCTGCAGCTGATGTTTGAGCATCCTGCATTTGACAGGCTACTGCAAAGGGCCATGAAGAGTGTGGGGCACATGCGCAACGAGGACATGGCTTATTCTCTCATGGGTATGGTCAAACTAGGTGTTCCCCAACGTAGCCGTGTGGTCCAGACTTTCCTCCGAACCTGCCAGGTAGGCAGTGAAGGACTTCTCAATCAGCAAGCAAACATGTTGGCAGTATTTGTTTTGTTGTGTGTCCCATATTAAATGAAATTATTGTCCACTAACAGGAGAGACTGAATGACTTTGATGAGAAGGGCCTGTCAATCTTGGCCTCCTGTCTGGAACATATGGGGGACAGCCCCAATGTGGCTGCACTTAAGGCGGGCATGAGGTCAGGATTATCAAATGGTGCATATGTCTTAGCCAAAATATAAGCATCAGAATTTTAGATATCCATGCCACATTAGACAAAGTTTTCATAAAGTCCTAGATTACTAAATAGATTTTTCAATTTCAATTAGCATTGATTTTTATTGTGGTTATGTCTTAGGCTGGTCGTTGAGGCTCGTCTTCCCGGGATCAAGAATGTAATGCCTCTCCAGACCATGATGCGTCTGTTGGGGAAAGATGTCCCACTGCACCTTAAACTGAAGCTAGAGGTTGGTTTATGCCTCTTGGTTTTGAAGATATTTGGAATTCTAATCTCCATATATGTGTTTGTAACATTATCCAGAATTATGATTTGCTAGCTCTCGTGCAAGCGTGTCCTTGACTGCTTAACATTTTCACTACAGTTTGCAGTCTATATGGTGTCTAATTGTTACAGGATTTAGTTTGATGATATTCTGATTGTTGGGAAACAGAAGAAAAAAGTGTTTGTGAATAATCTGCGTATATACTAGTGTGCATGTAAACACACTCAAGGACAGATCCAACCTTTTATTTACTTTGCTTCTGTCTCAGTGCCCCTTTACAATGTCTGTCAATCTCACCATTTTCTTTGTTTTTGAACTACAGGGCATGACCAAAAATGTCCTGTATTTTTGTACCTGTAGTTGAATCCATTCCACATTGACGTTCATTCTGTGCACTGCTTCCTCCAGGGTAAGGCTTTATCAATGACAGACCAGTTCAGCCTTCCCAATACCCAGTATATGATCTCCACCATGGCCACAATGGGCTTCTACTCCAAACCACTGCTGGACGTCTGCAGTAAGAAGATCAGAGGTAAAACTTTTCCATGAGATAAAATTTTTAAAGGAAATGTGTGGATTTCATAACGGGTAATGACATTTGTATGAGTGTGTGGTCATCCTCTTAAATTGAAGAACCTGTTAAAGGAGCATGAAATATTATATCATAAAAAGACTTCTTTTTCATAGTTTTGCCAACCTGATATCCCTCTTTGGTTCTTTTTCCACATCTGTCCTCTCTGGTAGAAAACCTGCACGGAATTCCTTTCAACAGATTGTTTACAGTTCTGCAGTCCTGTAGGGATCTGCACTACAGAGACTTAGATCTGCTCACTGACATTTCGGACTACATTGCTTCTATGATAGACATATGGACCAACAAACAGGTGCTGCAACAGACAACCGTTCATTAATATTCTTAATGCTACAGGGTGTTTAGCAAGAATCTAAAAGAAGCTAATGCTTTTTCTGTTCTTGTTCAGTTGATCCTCTTCCTATCTGTGTTGGAGAACCTCATTTTCTGTCCCACCGCCTTAATGGAAGTATTTGCTGAGAAGGTTATCGCCAATCCAGACGCCCTGACGCTTAAAGACCTCCTCTGTGTCCTCAAGGTTTACTCCTCTCTTAACTATGATCTGCAGGACCGGAGACAACAGTAGGTCACGCACGTGTCTCACACATCTTTTTCCTTGTACACTGGCCCTTCAGAATTGTCTACAGCTAATTTAATAAAAATGTCCATTGTTCATCATCAATTGTTTTTTGCCCTGCTGTTACTTATTAATTACTTACTTGCTAAATCTAAGTCTGAAATATACTCTCAAAACCAGGACAGAGGATGTGTAATTTACCACATTAAAATGCCAAGTTGCACAGTATAAAGTTTGTTTTTAGAGCTACTACTTTCAAAAGTAGGATCAGGGGATTACAAGTGAAGGTAGTCTTTGGTAAAATTGATGAAATTTACAGAAAAATTATTATATTTGAAAGCGACCTTACAGTCTCTCACAAACATACCAATTGACAAGGCCGCTATCATGACAGGCGAACAATCTTATAATGTTTTTTTTTTCTCGTTATCGTCAGACAGTATATTTTGCATAACTTCCATGTCTATTGGTTTCCAGGCTTGATGTCTTTGTTGGGTCCCATCTTGCTGTTCTAGGTTCCTGGAAAGTCTCTGCCAGGCTCTGAACTCCTATCTACCCAAGATGTCCGGGTTTGAGTTGTTAAAGGTTGTATACTATCTGTGTCTGCTGGGCCACTTCCCCTCTGCTTTACTGGAGCAACTCCTGCAGGCCAATACCCTGGAGCAGTTTAATACTACAGGTAACACAAAGACAAAAGACTTCTTATTCTTCTCTCTCTTTTTTTTTTTTGTCTGCAGCTTCTCTTTATTTTTTATTTCACATCACACAATTACATCCATCTGAACTTCCTCTATTTCTCTTCAGCACCCAAGTTTCTCCATAGCCAGGTGAAAATGTTTCAGACAGTGAACATATGCCTCCGTCTTGACCGTCATCTGCTCTCTCGGACCCTGACTGTCCCCCGATCTCTCCTGGGAGACCTCGGCCGCAGCAGTCCATCATTCAACCCGTGGCTCTCACAGGGCCTGCAGAGACTGGTGGGGGAACAGACAGACACAGTGCTACAGGAGATGGTGGAGGTGGAGGACTTCTACGTCATAGGTAAAGACAGAGCTAGAAGTGAAGATAAGCAGACTAATCTTTTTTTGGTCTTGTTATAGAATTGATGATTACCCCAGTATCAGATTATTGTGCCTGCGTTTTGCTCTTTAGCTTCAAGAATACGGCTACAGAACACCACTAGTTCTGAAAGAGTGATGCTAGCAAGCGCCTGTGTTTGTGTGTGTGTTGACTCTCAGATGGTGTGATAACCACACCTCTGCCGAACCAAACCTCTGTGACTGAAGTGAGTAGTTGTGCAGGAGAAGAGTGTTCTCCAGCAGGGAGCAGTCAAAGGTAAGACATCAACATCAGTTTGCAGCCGGCCACATCACCAGACTCAATCTTGAGCAAATCTGCAGTGGTATTTTACTTTCACATTTTGTTTTTGATTAAATGTGCTTATGTCATGTTTGGTAAAATTTGATGATGTGAAATCAGGTGGAGAGGATGTTTGGCCTTTTTGGTAGTGACACTGTCGGGCATTGACGCAAGCCATGATTGCGTAGATTAAATATCTTATTCTATAACTGCATGTAACAAAGCGCATACAATCTACATTTTGAACTAAGACACTTTAAATATATAAAGGGCATTAAATAGAGCTCTAAAAGCCAGACTGCTTGTTAGTTGTATTGACCGTCACAATGATTAGATGCTATAGAGTTTAAATCCCATATTTAAATATTTTAAAGGTTTGAGATAGGAAAATCGCGTATAACTTTCTTTCTTGCTTTTTGTAAACAACATTAGACATGGTTGAAAATTTCATGTATAAAAGCTTAAGCCAACAACCATTTAAATAGTGGATATAGCTTTACATTTAGCATTTTTACTGTTTTGTGCACTGACATCTTTTTCTTGGTGCCTTTATTATATGTCTTTTTGTTGAACTCTATGCAAGGAGTCTCCTAAGTAGTAATTCCTCACTATCTCTCTTTGTCTAATGCAAAAAAAAAATTTTAAATAAATTTTTAAAGATGAAATGAAATAAAATACAGTACAGTAACTGTAACTTACAAAAATAAACAAATGAGGAGTTGAAGAAGCCTCTTGGATGAGAGGTGAAACTCTGAGTATCTTCAACCAAATCCAGTTGCCCTTGATTTTAACCGTCCTTTTTTTTGGGCTGTTTTTTGTATATCGTATGTAGAAATGAATGTGATTTTTCATTTGTATTGCGCAATGCCTGTTCTGAACTTCAATCATTGTTCATAAAGAAGTAAAATTTAAAGACATTTTGAAAGATGAATTAAAATACAGTACAAAACAAACAAATCTAAAACTATAATAACCCTTCTAACTAAATATCTGTAGTTCAGTATAAAGTGCTCCAAGCACAGTGTTGCCTCAGTAAAAAGAAAGCCACAATGTGCTCTGTTTTGTTTTTCAGCTTTCAGATGTTTGCCTCCCAGTGAGGTTCTTCTAACCGAACCTCCACTTTCATCCTGTCATACCTGTATCTACATTCAAATTTTGACCTTTTTAAAGCTGAGAAACTCTTGTCTTGATATCTTAGAATTGCAGTAATTTGCGCACCACTCTCTGGTTTTTGCTATGGTACGTCCAATCCCCGTGGTCCTTTGGCTGTGAAGACTCGCCATCTGAAGATCCTGGGATATAACCCCATCTTGGTGAGGCTCGAGAGACGATCAAGTTTGAGTTTGGCTATTCTTTTTCTAAGGATCCAGTAGTTACTGATAATTTCCAAGTGTTACAATACTAATACTACATATAGCTTTTCTCATATGCCGAATTTGTTACAAATTAGTTGTAGCCACCTAAATTATCTTAATAAAACCTTCAGCCACATGTTCTTTTCAGATGTCCGTGTTAGCATTTTACTGTCAAATTACCTCTGAACCTTGGTATATATTTCCCTCCATGATAATAGCTCACTGACATTTAGGAAAAATGCTTCTTCAACAACCAAATTATACAAATACAAATGGAAGAAGTATCTGTGTTGAGTGCATCTGAGTGATGGTGAGATTGATATTCTCCTAATCCTGTTCTCCAGGTTACTGAGCAGGAGCTGCGGTCTGTGTCTGAAGAAGAGAAGACAGAGTTTCTCAGGGGACGGATTTTTCCAGGACACCGCAGATCAGACATGCAACCTAAAATTGAGCTCCTGGGATCTTGAGGACAGATGTCCCTGTTAAATGGATTCCAAGAGCCATACGTGGTTCCGTGCAATCGCCATGAACACACAGCTTTTGGTGTGCTATTCAAAGCTTTGTAAACAATTAAGAAGGAAAACCTATATTAAAGTATTTAAATAAACTTGGTCCCTGGAGAAGTTGAGTTGTGTCACACATGAAGGGTCATTTATCCATCTGTGAAAAACTGTGTTGTGTTTACAGTGATCTTTTTTCTTTTCTTTTTTTAACCTCCTACATAAAGAAAGAACGTACATGTTTGCCCGGCGTGCGCGCGAACAATAGTTAAATCAGTTGTTTCTGCAAGATTTAAAAAGACACAGCCTGGTGACAGCATAAGACTGAAATATTTAAGTGTTCCTATCTTGTAATTAAGCTTCAACGGAGGAGTGACTGTGGGGGAAGGAAACAGTCTTTTATCGTAAGTGTTTTTAATCATCTCTAAGTCCCAAAATGGGTTAAAATCTTAACAGAAACAATGTGTTAATCTTGCTGATGCGTATGGTAGTTGATGAGTAACACTGCTGCTGAACGAAACCAATAAAACCAGTGTGCGCTTGCAATAACTGTACAGAAACTGCAAGGTGAGCAAGGTGAAGGTAGAGTCCCTTTGAAGCAGCTACAATCTGCAGAAAGCATGAGGGAGGGAAAAGTAGAGGGAGGAAGACAGGAAATTGTGCAGATTGTTATTGTTTGACGTGTGCCTCTCCCTGTTGTATATGTGATTCTCATCAACCACAGTGATGGTACTCTCCGAGAACACTGATTTCTTAGAAATAAGAGCGTGCAAAGTTGAACATGTGTGAATTTTGACGCCGTAGTTTGTAGAGGGCTGGCTGTACGGGCTTGTGTTTGTAAATTTTGTGAAATTGTGGTGCCTCTCCAGATTTACGTACTGAATGAACCCCTTTGGATGTGGTTAGACCCCCTCATGCAGACACCACCTTCTGTTTCGACCACAAAGATGGGGGTTCCAGCTGTGTGTGTGAGAGAGAGAGAGAGAGACAGGCTGGTAGATATAGTGAATGAAACAGGAAGCCAGCCAAACCAAAACTGTTAGGCAAGATATTTTTTTATTGCCTCATACAGGCACAACTTTAAAAGGAACTGCTACTTTCACTGTGAAGATACAAAACAACTATAACTGACAACAAAATATGTAGAGGGCTGGCTGTATGGGCTTGTGTTTATAAATTTAGTGAAATTGTGGTGCCTCTCCACAGATTTACGCGCTGAATGAACCCCTTTGGATGTGGTTAGATCCCCTCATGCAGACACCACCTTCTGTTTCGACCATGAAGATAGGGGTTCCAGGGGTGGGTGGGTGTGACAGGCTGGTAGATATAGTGAATGAAACAGGAAATGAGCAAAACCAAACTGTTAGGCAAGATATTTTTTTATTGCCTCATACAGGCACAACTGTAAAAGGAACTGCTACTTTCGCTGTGAAGACACAAAACAACTATAACTGACAACAAAATGAACTAAACAACAACCTCACACACAATAAGGGCTAACAACTACAAGGACCCCCCTATGTTTATAACTAAACTAATGGGGATAGCTGTGCAAATGGTCAGATGATGCACGGGTGATCAGAAGTGTCGTGGTAGGCCTATATGGGTTCCAGCCCCTCTTTTCTTGTTGTGGCCCCTGGGTGCTCTGGGTTTGGTGTTCATGTAGTCACTCTGGGAATCTGTCCTCCTCAGTTTGACCTGCAAGACGCGAGAAGACCGTTAAACAACTGCATCATGTCTGTGAAGCTTCATAATGTGTCACACACAGTATGGTTGTTAGCGTTGCCAGGACTGTACCTTGTACATTGAGGACATATAAGGATAGAATCTTAGAGGTAGTGAATAGGTTTGGTACATGTTTACACTTATTTTAATATTCCAACTTTGAATCGTTCTGCTGCCAGACAGCATCAGATGTTACCACAAGAGAAAGGAGGAATGAATGCATTCCTTTGCATTTAGTGTGCCGTGTTTTTCCTTTATATTCTTTAACATGCACAGAGTGAAGAGCTGGACCCAGTTCAGGGGATCCGTCTTTCAAAAGAATTTTAATATGTTGTAATTTTAGTTTGAGGGCCACTTCCTGGTGAAAGCCTGCAATAATTTGACTTGACGTGCTCATTTGAAGCTCCTGAACACACTGTGATATAAGATATGAGGTACATTTTTATTTTATGTAGTGTTGGATGTGGACATGTGTGCACAGTTGAAATATTGCCCATTGTTAAAATGAAAGATTTGGACATAAAGAGTTTTATAATAAACATTTTGATCAGAAAAACTGAGGTTGCAATGTGTTATTTCTTCTGACTCCAGTAATATAAATTACATCTAAATGAAATAATTTGACCACTTAATATTGCCAAAACTTTTGAATTAAAATTAACAGGTTATGTTGGTTCAAATTAATGATGCTTTTATTGTAATTGAAAAGTTACCCATGGTGGGAGTTATCAGACGTGGCTGACTATGTTCTGGCCAAGAAAAATGTATAAATCTATTAATTGATAAGTATTACAACAAATTCCCTAACAGAATTCTCAAAATTCTTTGCTGAGATGTGAAAGCTCTTGGAGAACAGTTTTAGACCATCTTGGTGGCAATTTGGGACATGCATTGGTTTTTTGAATTTATAAAAAAAACAGAAATGAGAAAATAAAGCAGGGTTTTTTGTGAAAAATAATGGTTTACAGACATCCTTGAAGTCAGTCAAATGATAAAGACTGTTCTCTAAATTCTAGAAAAATGCTAGAAAGATGCTAAAAAGATGCTTCAGATGATCTTTCGAAAAAATGGGTGATGTTAAACTAGCAGGTGAACTACAGAATATGTACCCTCTTCTCTTACACACACTGTCCATTGGTTAAAAGACTAAACGTTTTCCCAAAAGGTTTTGAGTTGAATTCTTTTTTCTGTGTCTAAAAGGTTTAAGTATTTGCTCAGAATGATTACTTCAAAACATAAGTTTCTCTTTGTTGTCCTGAGGCATAGCTTACCAAGCTGATGATGGCGATAACTGTGACAGTTATGCTGTAGATGATGAGACCACCCACCACAATCCAAATCCAGAGAGATACACTAAGCTGAACTGTTTCAGGAACTTTGCAGTTTTTGCAGTCAATGCCTTGGTGTCCTGGAAGAAATATATTCAGGAAGTATTCAGTGTATGGGACTATGTGAACATGAAAATGATAGGATTGGTGTAAAACCTCTGCACCTTCAAGGAATATTTACCTTCTACAAGTACCAGGATCCTTGAACCATATGCTTTTACAAGAGGAGGAGGGTACATGACCGTGCCCTCACATCTGTAGATACCATGGTGACTGTTGTTCACTCCAGTGAGCCTGAACGATTTATTATCTTTGTTTTCATGCATTTCCACGTCCTCCCTGGTGTATGGTGAATCACTTTTTGATACATTGTTTTTGTGGCTTGAATGGGTGTAAATTACTTTTTGCTGCTTTAGGAGGTTAAATTTCAGGTGTTCACCAGTCAGCTGTGGGCATGGCACGGCCACATTGCCTCCAGCAGATACGTTGAAAGTTTCCAGCGTGTCTGGAGAAAAGAAATGTAATAATGATTCAGGGTACCATTTTATATTGATTTCTGATCATAGGTGTCTCTTACACACACAGTATAATTTATAATAATATAAATGATGCACAAACAAAAGCTTGCAAATACTTAACACATTGAAACTTTGGAATAGAGAAACAGTTTGCTAAGCAGAGAGCTAGAGGAGCCTAGCACTGCGTTTGTTGTTGCAGCAAACCAAGTAAGGATACCTGTGTCTTTGTCTGTAACTAAACACACCTTTGCAAAGGAAATGGGTTCTTAGAGCTACAGGCTGCAACTCAGCTACAAGACTGATTTATTTGCATTTATTTCCCCTGGCTGATATTCAGGCTTTGAAACTTATCATTTCACATTTCACCCCCACATGGAATTTTTTTCAATAACAGCACATCTAAGTACATTTACTTTTTTTAACCAGTCTCACATTTCACATGAAAAAACATTGAATGTGAGTGGCATACTTGAGTCAGCCAGTGACTGACTCAAGTATGCCACTCACAAGGTTGTGGTTTATGTAATGTAGTGCTATTTGTTGTATGGATCAGTGTTGAAATGAATGCCTTCTCCACTCTATGGAAACAGCAATTATCCTTGAGCTGGGGAAACACTTTGGTAGATGCTGGTTCACATTAATATGTGTCTGAACCCACAAATACACATATTCAGCCAGCATTATGAGACTTTAAGTTCATCATAGGTGGTAATCAATAGATAAACAGCCAATAACTGAGGATAAATCTACCTAAAACCAATTACAACAAGCATTTTTTTAAATTAGCTCGAATTTATGGGTTGCAGTAACGTCAACAACTTACCGTTGCCGGCGCAGATGTTTTGAGACTCGGCAGCATGAGATAATCTGTAGCCCATAAGGATCGTGAACACTAAGCAAGCACTCATCTTGATCTTTTGCACTGAGAGTGTGAACTTGCCTCCAGCAGAATGATGTCCTTGAGGCTTTCCCTCATCACCTAGAACTTTAAGCTCCTCCAACAAACTACATTAACCTGTATACTGCAGAGAAATCTGATCTGGTAATTAGATTTTATCAACGCTGGTTCCGTGCACGCGTTTCTTTGACTGCAATGCATCATATCCTCATTCTGCCTCTGATTGAAGCACTCCCACGGTGCTGCAGTGACTGAGCCGCACACATCTTCTCTGGAGGGAAAACATCCTGTGGCAGAACCGCCTTCTCTTCTGAAGTTTCCGCTCTCTCCCATAGTTTGTGACCTTTGATGCCTTAATTGTGTTCTTAACTTAAGACTAATGTTATGTGTTAATTTAGACCAAGATGTCAATGCATGCCAGTTCTGTACATATTAAGTATTTTGCAAGCTGATGCATATTTAATTTGATGCGTTATATTGAATCATTGTCTGGAGACAAAGAATAAGAGAATGGGGGAGAGAAAAAAAATGTGGGAACCTCACCAACATGCAGGGCGGACTTATACAAAACATCCTCCTTTTATTACCAAATTTAAACATTTTAAAATACTTATTACTTATAATACTAGCATGCAATGCAAATGAGCACTGCTAAAATATATTAGAGAAAATACACTCTAGCTGTATGTGTTCAAGTAGATGTTGCAGCCACAGTTGCAGTTGGAGCGAGTGACCTAAAGTGCAATGACCCAGTGTGCCTTGTGGAAAGGTTTGCTGAACATAATGAGAAGCACCACCAAACAGATATTGAACAGATTTGAACTGACATGCGTGACTGCCAAAATATCATTACCTCACAAAAAGACAGAGGAAGCCCAGATGCTTAAGTGTAGGGGAAGTGAACAAGAAACCATCTCCATACTGTATGAGTACAGAACAGACACTGGCACATAACATGTATGTTAACATGTCAGTTGGGGAAAATACTGTGTTTGTGCTGTGAAGGAATATCAGCTATAAGAGAAGGTAACTTGATTTTTCTATGGTTTAAAAACCTGTGTCAACAAAATGGTGATGGGAAAGTGCAATAGCTTTCTTGGTCCACTAGATGACAACAAAGCCTTTTATTTTGATCAGCATATTAACTGCTACAGACCTGGAAAATATCTATTTGCTACAATCTTATATTAATTGCAACATAATGTCCCTTTGCTTCAATGCCTTTCCTGTTTTATACAAGTTTAACTACCTAGAGCAGGGATTAGAGACCATAAAAGGGTGGAAAGTATCTACTTTGTGTGGCAACACATGGCAACAGATTCAGGGGGTTGTAAAGTGGGGATTAAATCATTTCTAAAATGTTGTGTTGGGAATGACAGGTTAGTAATGCCATGTGTCCATATGGATAACATGCAATAATCTCCTAATCTGGAACAAGTCCCTTTTGTCTGGTGGCTTTGGGTGAGCATCAGCAAGAACCCATGCAGAGCTCCAGTCTGGTTAAATGTGTCTGCTTCACTCAACTTAAAAAAAAAAAAAAACATATTTCGCCTTGATCTTTTTATCTTATAAAGAGCAATAAAATATGTATTTTATTTTTAGCAGTATTTTATTATTATTAGTTTAGCTATTGTTATGGTGATGATATTGGTGCTTATTATTATTATTATTATTGTTGTTATTATTATTATTATTATTATTATTATTATTATTATTATTATTATTATTATTATCTACTTTCACTAACTAGAGAGAATAGCTGCTGGATGCTGATGCTGCCTTCAATGTTTCTGTTATCTCCGACTTTCGACTTCATAATCTGTAAAATAAAAACTCATTCCAGTGCTTTTTGAGATGGCCCAAAACACCTTGAAAAATCAATAGTTTTCATCCGTTTATATAAATAAGGAGCGATGAATAATTATCGGCAGGACGAAGGTATACTTAATCCAACACAAAACTGCACTAAAATGTGTGAGATGTTAAATTCACAGACCACAATTCAACTCTTTTCCAGTATATTAGCTACTGTAGCTTCTTCTCTGCGACCAACTCTAATATAAGATAATTCCGACAGGCCATGAAGGCAGCGTTTGGGTTCTGGGCTGGACAGGAAACGACGGAGACGCGCAGCGTGTCTCCTCAGCAGCTCCGGGAGAGAAGAATGGGAAAAGGGAATGTGACTGTATATGTAGACGAGCCAATGTGGGAAAACATGAGCACAACGGGCAGTTTTTAACTAGATTCCTCTTTAAAACAGATAATTACACATATCATAGACTATCAGGAGTTTTTCTTCTTCTTTTCCCTGAGGAGAGGGATATTTGCTCCCATTGGAGAACACAGGAGAGGAGAGGATCCTCTTTGTGAATCTCATTTGACTGTAAGTGGATTTTTCTTTACTATTCCGGCATGTTTTAATTCACCAACACCTTTTTTCCTAGTCCTTTAAATAAGCATACTCAGACTAAAAATGCCAATCATGAATAATATCCGTTTATTATGCTATCCACTGGCAGCCCATCCTAGATTGTGTCTTCTGGAAAAGAGACAGTGGAGTAGCTGTGCTGTATGCTTACTATGCTTGTTAAAGACAAGGACCACTAGGTGTTAAGAAACAAGCCACCGTGAATGTGTTGTTGCCTGTTACAGAAAGTGTGGCTGTTTGAATGGGGGTTTGTGTGTCCCCTATGCGGCCATTGAACGATCCTTTTCTTGGGGATAAAGGGCGTGTAGCGTTTTGGCCGACTTGGAAAAGAGCCGCAGCTTTCAATCCAACACGAGCCTTTTGTTATGTTGTATTTGTTAGTTATGTGGCTAAAGCCAAGCCTTTGGGCTCTGTCGTGGCCGGCTGGTGGCATTTTCAACCTAATTTTCCTCCCCTGCATCTCAGTGAACAGGGAGATGTATAGTCTCCACCCTGTTTAGCGGGAGGAGGCTATCTGCTTCTGGTAATGGCCGATGGTTTTGTCGCGCTAATGAGCTGGTGGGTTATTCAAAAATACTATATTTTGTCTTTATAACCCTGTAAAATAAGTTGTAATGTATGTTAGTGTGGCTGTGTTGAGTTCATCATTAGCTACGTCTTTCACTGCAGCACATGAACACTGCTTTAGTTCCCTTTGTTGGATGACGCCGCCAGCAGGTTGGATAACATGAAGCCAGTTTGACCAGTGACTATCCAAATTAATGCTAGCATCCACTTTAGCCAGGAGAAGTAGCCTAAATCTTTTTTTAAAAAACGACGCAGTGTGTTGTGTTTGTTCAGAAGCCGTCTGGACAAATAAAGCTAGACAGAAGTGGAAAAGTTAAATCTCAAAACACATATTGTGTTTATACTTTTCCGCTGCTTCACTGGCAGAAACAACTAGAGGTTCACAAATAACCAAACTATTGCAAATTATCTCCACTGAAGTCAAGCCACTTTTCCCTCCCAAGTCTTAGCCTCAGACTTTTATTGCATTCAGACATTAACACTGGGAAGATAATGACCCTTCATTGACAGTGGGGTTCAAAGGTCATTTGTAAAGGGGCTGTACACCATGCTGCTGTCTGGTTGGCCCCCATATGGGCCCAGATTTTCACCCAGTAAACGTTCCCTGCCTGTGTGTGGGTGTTATTTACACAGCCAAGGCCTGGCCAGGGCACCTTCTTAACTGTATCTCTTCCGTTCAGGGGTGAATAGACAAAACAAACTGTATTGGCTCCAAAAAAAAGGCCACTTGGCCCAGCCTTTTTTCCCCACAGTGGCATTATAATAGACTGTCTGTGTCCTTAAGGCACGCTTGATTTGCATTCACAAAGCAATAGACTAGAAGCACATTATTCTGGGCATTGAGACAGTGCAGCAACAATGCAACCCATTCGCTTACAGTGCAGTTAATGGGTTGAAAATAACTACTGACCTTCTGGTTGCTTCCCCTCAGGCAGATGCCTTTAGGTTTGTCATGTTTCTGGAAAATAACAGGAGTTTGGAGTCAGATTTCACTTGCCGTCTGGTCAGAGACACATAAGAGGACAGAAAATGAGTGATGCCACTAGCACATCTGGAAAGCCTGGTGATATTTTGTATTTGTTCCTTTGGGCATTTTTATTGTGTTTCTGTTTCCTGCTCTGTGTCTGTGTCCCATTAGTGTTTCTTAAGAACTTAATTATCAGCTGTTTTGATGAAATGGAGGGTTTTAAAATATTTTCTCTGTTTTTGATGTTAGAGGCAATCTTATTGGGTTCATTTTAGTCCTTTGGCTGAATCCCAACAGAATTATTGTCATTGTAGGTGTAGCAATATCACATAATGAGCAAGATTTAGTTATGTTGGCATTGGTGCGAGCACATGAGCAACTTAAAAAGAAATAGATTCAGTAGAAAGTAATAGGATCATACAAAATATTTACTTGGTAGAGTTAATAGTCCCGCAGTCATTGCATTCAGGCAATATGATATACAGCTCATCCATAAAAAGCTCAGTCATGGATTACATTTCCAGCCACAGAGGTATAACATGTTAGAAGAGAGCGTGTCATTTCACTACCCCTGTTTTTAAAAGCACATGTAAGGAATTTTTCACTGTCAGCTTTCTTTCCCGAGGCTACTGAAAAGAGAACCAAGGGAGAGGGGCTATATATTTTGGAGGAAACATCAGCTCAAAATACATAACCAGGAACATGGTTTTCTCATTCACCCACTCTGTCTTGTTTTGCCAAAAGAAGAAGGGAAGAAAAAACCCTTCTGCTTTCCTCTCTCCAACCCTCTACTCTCTTTCATTCTTTTTTTGTATGCTTGATTTCCTTGGGATGTAGTTGATTCCATGAGAAAAACAGTTGTCAAAGAAATTTTTGGCATGAGGAATGATCCTCAGAGACTGTGTGTGTGTGTTAGCATCTCCTGCGTGCTAGCCTGTCCGTCTGTCAGCACTTTACTGGCTCTGTCGTGCGAGTTGCAAGGCCCATGTCTGACTTCCGCCCATCCATCTACCCATGTCCCTGGGCATAAGACTTTTCTGCACAAAAGCTCCAGAGATGCAGCTGGGGGGTGGCAGTGGTGGTTGGTGTAAGTTTACCCAGGTTGTGTTACAGCCGCAGGTGTAGGTGGGTAAAGGAAGGCAGGGGGAGGATGGCACTTCAAATGCAGCCTTCTACACACCCCATGGAGAGCTGGAGGGGAGAGTGTAAGCTGATATTTCCAATGATAGGAGTTACTACTGTGACTTGGGTCAGGGAGTGGAAAACAAACTGGAAAAGGCATCAGGGCCCTGCTCCTTG